TACATTTATATACAACAATAAATATTTGTGAGTGCATTGAGAGATATTGTTGTGGAGAGTCATTTATATATAAATCGCAAAATACATTTGTGAATCCTTCTGTGAGCATTTATTAATATTGAGACTGATCTGACTCCATACAGATGTTAAGTTCACCTAGGAATGGTATCATTGACTTAAATGTTCAAATAAATGTTGCTCTTCTGTCTATATTGGTCATATGATGCCCCTTGACTGAAATGTTTCCTGTTCAATATCCCCACTGATTTCCTTAAAATCCTGGGATGAGAGTCCACATCACAATTTACTCTCAACTGTCATTTCCCTTTCATCACTCACCTCAGCAATGGACCTCTCTCCACTGTCCCTGTATTCTGCCTCTGACTCACTCTCAAGTGCCTAGATGTCAAGAGAGGTGGTGAAGTGATAATTATTTATTGAGCAGTATACTCTTTCACATTGAATCATAACAAGTCATACTGAATGTAAATACAACTGACTCTAAAGTAAGTCCCAGTCTGTGACATTAGACATTTTGAAGACTCAAAGTCCCAAGCAGTAGGTAGAATATTAGCTAGTCTATGTAATGTGCACAGAAAATAAATAGTTAACTGAATACTGGGATGGAAATTGCCTATAAGCACTCAGTAAAACATAAACACACACAAAAAGCTTCTGAATGATAAGTATAATTAAAACATAATGCACATTACCATTTTGAGAGAGAGTACCTAAATTAAAGAACTCAGAAAATAATCTCGTATCGAACTGAGGCTCCAGTAAAACACACTGACTGCGTCTCTACATGGACATCAGTAAGCCGTTTAAGAGTATTATCCCGGTTATGATGTGTTTACATGAGCAGAGAGATCGGGTTATTCATGTTCCCTGTTTACATGATAAATACTAGTAACCTGGCATTTCGATGCCTTTTCTCATCTAAACTATTCAGTATTTGTATTTCTCTATCATGACATAAAGACGAAACTCCTCTCCAGAAGTGAGACGCATTTTCCGCCACCACCGCCATCACTGTTAAGTTAACAGTGTTAACTGATTAACTGCTACCAGCTGATGACTTACTTTCCTCTTCTTTGCAAAAAATGTTCTTATGTCCATGTTGTCTGGGGGAGAAAACATATCAAACCAAGAGATAGTCAGCTTTGATTTTCGCTGTATTAACCTTTTCCTGATCATTTGGTGTGTGTGCCTTACCTCCGCTACCGGCATCCTTCATACAACAGAATCTGAGCTGTCCAACTATGACATCACTCCTTGAACATGCGCGCGCTATGTGAGAATCTGCCTTGGTACAAAGTAGCAGTGAAAACATGGTACGGAGTTTCATTGATTTGGGCATTCTCTCAATAAGCAAGTGGAATGGATTTGATAGTGAAGCACTGACACAGCGCTCTGCAAAGAGCGGCGAGTGGATAGACCGATTCACGGACTTTCCGCATAGTAAAAGTGGGGGGGTCTAAACTAATCATTTGAAAAAGTGGGGGGGACTTGTCCCACCCTCATATAATGGTTGCGACGCCCATGGGTGGAGGTATGCCCATTATTTTGAGTTCGTCCGAAGAATAGACAGGAATGTGACGGTGAGGTGCAAACTGTGTCCAGGCCAGAAGCTGTTATACACTGCTGCAAACACCACGTCAAACCTCAACAAACACCTGCAAAGAACACATGCTAAAGTGAAGCTAATAGCTAAGGACCGGACCCCCGAACCCAGAGTGAGGATGTTGTGAGTCGCGGCCGCCGACTCCGAAGCGGCACAAATTAGAATTTGGAGAACCGGTAACCAAAGCAGAGATGGACAGGCTTGTAGCAGCCTTCATAGTAGAGGTAATGTTGCCCATTTGCACAGTGGAATCACCATCGCATCGTTCAGAGATATACTGCGCAAAATACAGATAGCAGGAGACAGAGGACAGCCATAGTCAGAGCTATCTGGATCAGTCTTATGCGACAATGGAAACTGAACTAAAGAGAACATTTGAAACTTTAGCAGTCTGCGTGATCTGCCTGTAGGGAGGGGCGGGCCGGCCCTGCGAGTAAAGTAACGAGTAAAGTAACGAGTAAAGTAACAAGTTACTTTATGTAGAGAGTAACGAAGTAGTGTAATATATTACTTTTTTTTTAAAGTAATATGTAATATGTAATATATTACTTTTTTTTAGTAACGACCCCATCTCTGCTCATCAATCATTGTTTTTGGTGGTAGAATCAATCATTTAGATTTTGAAATGTCATGGAATTTGTTGAAAATAAAAGACATTTAGAATATTACCAATGTTATTATCAAAGGATTTAATACTGCACACCGAGGTTGCAGTCGAATAGTCCAAAAATCAGCTCCTAACGTCTAACCCTATCGTTTATTCCTTGACCTCTGTGTGAAACGTCACGGGGTTAAGGGATAGTGGATAGGAGAATTCAAAAGGACTTAGGAGAAGAGACTGCAGTACTTTAGAGAATCCGACTGCACTTTCACTATCCGACGTGTTTATGATGCGCCAGCAGACGTCATAAATGTGCGTCTGCTGCTGTGGGGAAACTATGGAAACTACACTTTTCTATACAGCGGACTACAACATGGATGTATAATAAGAACGACGGACTACTGTAAATTAATCTAGAGACTCTGCACCGTGCTCTGATGCTGTTGTTTTATGCTTTATGAACGTGGACAACAGAGAAACATATTCTTCATGACCAAAGTGGGAATTGAAATAAAAAAGGAAGTGAAACTTATGCTCGTCACCCTCTCCCTCTGGTCCACATTAATACAAATGATCCCAATAGCCTACGTATGATTGTATGAACTATGAAAAGATCTTAAAATCAATACAAATGTATTTATTATAAACGTTAGTCCTTAATATCTATCACTGTGTATATCACCATTCAAACATCTTTTAAAAGTTGAACAAACCCCACACAGCTCAGTAAAGACTGTGAAATGTTGACTTTATTTGATAATTTCAGTAAAAACTAACGTTCATATTTCTCTTTTTGATTATAATACTGATGAACGTTCAAAACAAAGCACTTTGGCAAGTTACCAAATACGTTTTAAAATGCTTAATAAGCACCGTAACTTTCATGATATCATTTCTCGGTCATAATCGGTTGTTTCCGTGAACGGCCGACTGTTGCGTGACGGCAAATGCTGCGGCTGCAAGGCATTGTGGGGCAGCATTTTCTCCTCTCCTTTCGTAAAGGGAGGTCCAGTGGTTCCTAAGCTAAAGGAGGTTATAAAGGAAGTTTGAAACCTCCTTTCCTATCATCTAGAGCAGTGGTTCTCAAACTTTTTTCAATAATGTACCCCCTTTGAAAAACAATGTCAGCCAAGTACCCTGTTCTTCTAATGAAACTGTCACCCTGTCAGGGTGTGTGACTTCCACAGAACTGACCCACACCCATAAACACACATGAAGCGTGGACTAATTTGGCTTTGGTGATTGTTTTAGCATGAATTCAGTATCATTTCCCTTGGAATATGACTCCTCCCAGGTAATGATTGCACAATGACCCACAGCATCTCTGTTCTGATAAGAGAATTCGAACGGCACTTATTATGGCTGCCACTGAGGGACTTCCGGGTCATTTCACTCCATTAGGAAGGTTCCTAAGCTAAATGGACTATTCGACTTCAGCCCGAGCTTGTAATATCGGAATATCTTTTAAAAGAAAAAGAGAAGGACAATTATTTTGCCGGGGTAATAATGTTTTCATAATGACATTTCTGCACAAGTATAAATATAAAACTACTAAGAGGTTTTCTGGAAATAAGTATGCCTGTTTCCATTTACAAAAATGTGTCTTTCAGACCAATGGACTCAACAGTAAAGGCTTTTAAGAAAAAAAACATGTTGTCCAAACCCAAACAACCTCAAGGATCATACTGGTTATATGCCGAGTGCTCAGTTGGTCATGTATCGATTATGCACTATAGCTCTATTGATGGATGAGAGAGCCATTGTATGAATAATGGGCAAAGCAAAACAAAGCAATAACAGCCTTATTGTTGTCAACTCACTTACTCTCTCTTTTCTTTTTTCTTTCCTCTCTTCTTTTTTTGTTCCTTTATCATTGAATTTATTTTCTTGCTTTTTTTTTTTAACCCTTTTTCAGACACTATAGGCGCGTTCACACCGGAGTACTTTTACCCCGTACTTTTACCCCGTACTTTTCCCGTTTAGTTCCGTTAGTACCCCTTATGTCGCGTTCACACCAAAAAGAGTACTTAGTTCCGGGAACTTTTACCCCCATTTTTTGTGCCTGCTAGAGAGGTGGTACCAAAAAAGTACCAATTTCTATTAGCTGGGCGAATTGCAAACCACGCCCCGTAAAACTCCACCATTGTATTTGTGGCATTAGCATTATTAGCATTAGCCCCGCGCACCAACGGAGAGAGAATAACTTATGGCAACACAAAAAAAAACATCGGAGCGGTGGAGTGATGAGGAGGTGTCGGCGTTCTGGCGATTTACTCGGAAGGTTTCAGAAGAAGCTTCTACTGAAGCCAGTCCCCAACTCCAGGGACTTCCGGCCGGGGACTCCGGGTGGCAGTATACGCCGTGAAGTTGTTTGTGGCCTGCCAGTAAACCCAAAGCAGAAGAAGACGAAGTGACGTCAGCGGCTCATTTGTGTAATCTTCCCTCAGGGAAAAGTACTCCGGTGTGAACGCGATTGGTACTTAGTGCCCTGGGGTACTAAGTGCCGGCACTAAATATGGCAAAGTACTTGGTGTGAAAGCGGCTTATTGTGGATATAGTACTTTCTATGCCTATAACACATACACTGGTCTCTGATTACAGTGTTCACCCACTTGACACCTGTGCTGCACACAGCTGTGCTGGATTTATTATTAACTTTATGTGTGATGCAAATGGCAAAGTGCTTCTATCATTCCCTTCATCCCTGTGGATATGTAAAAAATGCCAACTGGATACAATTTCAAATGTTCTGCATAAACAACCTAAAAGCCGAGCATCTGTTCAAACCACTTTTTTATTTGGATTTACATTCAACATGGCATTTGCCGACATTTAGACAAGGTATATGGTCATGCTAATAAAATGATGTTTTTGCATGCTTTAGAGTTGCACTTTGGGTCACACAATCACAATCACAATATCCTTGTATAGATTGGTAGGAAAACGCAAGTGCTCTTCAACTCCTGCAGTGTCCAGCCAGGAACCAGAAGTGTCTGAAGACCTCTTGAGAGAGCAGAACCTGGGAATGCAATCTAATTACAGAGCACGGAGATGCATATAATTCAACCCCCCCCTCACCCCTCCCGCTCTACATCGTGCAGGATATGAGGTAGAAAATAACAATAACTGATTGTCTGAAGAAGGGTTGATTCTTGAATGTATTATTCATGCTATTCTCGACACCTCTGAAAATAAAGCCATGACTTTAAAAAGCTTATGCAAGAGCATGTAGTTGTATGCGCACACACGCACACACACACGCACGCACACCCAAACTCACACACACCATCTTACAGCTTACTTTCATATTAGGTGGTTATTATTAGACGTCCCTCTGTTGTATGCAGTTAAAGCTGGGTCTGTGCCTGTCTGTGTCCTTCTATGCCTCCTCCAGCACAGTTTCAAATCTTCCTGGACTCCGTTACTTACCAACACATACAGCACAGGGTCCACCACGCAGTTCAGACTGGACATTGCCAGTGTACATGAGAAATAAAAGTGCATTTTTTGTTCAAACTGGCAGTAACTTCCTTCAGCTTCTATGCTATCACTGCTGTAGAAGACAAGTGAGCGGATGAGCAGGAGAATGTGATATGGAGCAAAGCAGATGGAGAAGATGCCAATCACCCCAAAGGACAGCATGCGGACCTTCCTTTTAGCCTGGGCGCTCAGGCCGGGACTCTGGCCCACGGTGGCCAGCACCCTCCAGTAGCTCACGGCCAACACCAGCAGGGGCAGCAGGAAGCCGATGCCTACTCTGACCAAGTTGAACAAGGCGACAGGGGGGGTAATGGGGTACGTTTCATAGCAACGGTCATTGTCGTTGACCTCATCGTGGGCGTCAGTGAGATTGTCATTGATCAGTACCATGATGTGCAGAGTTATCACCACAGCGTACACAGCTGCACACTGTGCCCAGGCGTAGCGGGACGTACGCTGGGACTTGGAGCGGAGTGGGAAGGTGACCACCAGGCAGCGGTCTATGGAGATGCTGCAGAGCAGGTAGAGGCTGATGTACATGTTGGAGTAGTAGATGAAGCCAGCTACACTGCAGGAAGCAGCACCGAGCTCCCAATGGTGGTCCCGTTTGTAATAGTTGATCCAAAGGGGCATAGTAAGGATGAAGAGAATGTCAGAGAGCGACAGGTTGAGCAGGAAGATCCCCAGAACGTTTTGCCGCCGCACTTGTTGGCAAATGGGGCCCAGGGTCAGCACATGGAAGATCAAACCAAATATAAAAACAATAATGTAAATGGACATCAAAAAGTCACTGATGGCGCTGTCGGCAATGTCAACACACAGGGTAAAGTTTGGGGTGTTCGTGGCGTTCATTGTGTCTTTAGTTTTCTTTCACTGTGATGGTTAGAATTCACCTGTAAAGAAATTAAGAGTTTGGTTGAGTAAAAAGGACACAGGCAACATGAGTGTAACTATAATGCCATAAGATTCACAGTACAGCTAGGACATTTCTTACTCTCCATCCTATTTCGTGGTTCAATGAGCTCAAGAGATAACAATTTGGTTTCCCCCCCTGATGTTTCTGAATGTGAGGTAGTTTGGCTAGGCAGAGTTGAAGTTCCCCCTCAGAAAAGACCCAGGCTTAGTCATGCTTCCTGATGATAACAGTGTCTAGCAACGGTTCAATAGAAATTGACATTGCCAAAATTCCCTCCCTATTACTTCAACAGCTCAGCATGGAGAAAGAATGTCCTGCATATTTTTTTTATAATGTCCTATTCCTTATGGAAACTGCAAGGTACTAATCCTTTTCCTCAAATGTTTTAGACGTTAACACTTTTGGTTCCAATTTCCCCTATATCTTATCACATGCTTTTATCTCTATGCTGCTATTTGTTAAACTGTTTTAAAATGTTTGCTCTCATTGCCCTGCATGGTATAAATCTGAATGTCAGTAAGGGGCAGTACCTATTTGCATTTTACTGACATCAATGCTTGATAAACACATTTTGGGTTCTGTGTCAAAATTACCCTCTTGGTCAGATTCAAACAGGTACTGCTAATTCAATGTGCCTTAGTCTAATGTCGGAGCAGAGCTGGGTGGCATAAGCATCCCTCCCAGACAAGAGGAAATGCAATGCTTAAGAATAAGTAATGTGGACTGGACTCATGCCTTATATGAATTAATCAATTAATTTCTTCCTTGATTTACACGATAGATGCACGGTCAGTCCCAGTTCATCGCAGAGCTGTGGCTTTGATTCCCGTCCGACACATCCTTGATAAGTCTGCGTTGCATCCTTTTAAAAATGTTCTTGGTTGAAATGGCATGGCCAAATCTAATCAGAAAATGGATAATAATAATAAAGTCAGTTTTACTTGATGTAGATCCCTTGAATCATTTCCTACAATGACAATATTTAGTGGCTTTTTTATGTAAAGGAACCCTCAATAGCTTTTCAAAAATATTTTCACAAGTTTTATTCTGGTAATTTCCTGTCTTTTTCACTCTTTATCCTATTTTTCTCCATTCATATTTGGTCCCCTCCTTTGCATATGTCCTTCACAAAACATTAGAAACCCTGCTGTACTTTACTCTGGAACATCTGGAAACAGACAACTTTTTACATTAAAATCTCTTTCAGTCCCCATCCATATTTGCAACATTTAGCTTTGTTTACCCTACTTTAGATTCAGCTTTCATATAGAACGTGAAATGGAAAAAGGTCTCTTTTTGTGACCACTACTTTGAACAGACATTTGGAGGATTTAAAAACCATGTACATTTGGTGTATCAAAAGATGGTCTGTTCTGATATGGTGCCTACCTCACTACATACATTTAACTTAAGTATCTAAGAAAACTTTGTTGAAGAAGATGACTATCCACTTGCTTTTGTTGACACCCTTCCTGAAGTTCCTGCCACTTTAATAAACATGTGCCCCTTGATGCTATCTTTGTTTTGCTTCATGTTGAAGGCTGACTTGCTGCATTTGCTACAAAGATAGCTAAACGTATACTTAGATTGGGTCCTAACTCCCCTGACACAACTTCTTTGTAATGAATGTCAATGCCTTTTCTCCTCTTAGAAAAGATTGAACACGTTCAGAAGATCTGTGAAGAGATGTCACGGATACCGTTATCTTCTTCCTTCTATAGACATTTAATCTGTCCTCCTTGTAACCCTTTCTTTTGTTGTTGTTCTTTTAGCAATTTTTATCTAAGTGTATATTGCACACCGCCTAGGACGGTGGGCAAGCAGGAGGGTTATTCCCGGGGTAATGTGCTGTCTTGAAACAATTTAATATGTGAGAAAACTGTTATGTTTGAAATAAAATAAGACTTCTTATTTCACAATTACTAAACACATCTCAAAATCGAAGTGAAATGAATCCTGCGCTGTGTCTTTGTACTTTTTCTCTCTGTATCACAGTGGTATTCTTTGATATTTGTTTCCTCTCTACCTTCTGTTCTATCACTCAGGCTCGGCTCTCAGGAAGCTTCTAATGACATTAACGTCTGGGCCAAGATGGTCCAAGATGGTGCAAACTCAATAATGGAAAAGCCATTTAGAGTCAGAGCATCTTTAGAGAACGATAATGTGTGCCTGCACATTTGTGCGCATGTGAAGGCTTGTATTTTATTTATAAACAATGGGGTTTGTGAAACCAGACGTTTTACTCACAAGCAGTGGTCGTGGTCGTGTCTTACAATGAATGTGTAGGCTACTGTTTAGTCATCAGTCTGGGCGCTATGATACACCAAAATTGTTCCCCTATTAGTAAAAATGAGTCTAAAACTGTGAACCGTTTGTTCTATTACCATGGTTTGATTTATCTTGTAAGCTACAGGTCTTCGTCTTCTGGTGTAATTTCTGGGGATGAACTATTTCATTTTATGACATAATCCATTCTTGATACGTGCGTACTTTCTGGTACAGACTTCAGCTCGTCCTTTTTTCCATCTGAGACAACTATGTGTTTGTTAATAGTATAAACTGAACTAAGCCTGATTGTAATTACACAGCCATGTCACCAGTGAGGCTTTGAAAGAGCAAAACTAAACCTCTTCTCTCAAGAGGTGGAATGTGGCCTGTGTTAAATAACCTTTTTCAAGCCAAAAAATATGATTAATGTTTTATAGCTTGCCTCCCTAATACCAAAGCTTTTTATCAAAGGTTAACGTTCCATCTGTGCAATACATTCCTATGATTTTCCAATATTTTCTTCTTGTACAGCACTCCTCTTCTGTACTTTCCAGCCTGTTAAAGTGACCACCACTGGGAGAACGTCAAAAAACATTCGACCTTGCAGAGAATCCACATTTCTAACCTAATTATTTTTGCCACGCTGACTCACACAGCCTCAAGCGAGCCGTGTTTCCCCGGATAAAAAAAACACAGGGATGAACATAAAACTAGCAAGGTTTCACATTTAAAAAATACTTTAAACTCTCTGCTTGAAAACATTAAAAGAAACATTACCTTTCCAGTTGTGTCTAGTATAATTTCCACACATCTCACACCCAGAAAGGTAATTATTAATGAACTCACCTGTTGTTTCTGTTAGGAGGTGTTTAAAACGAAGCTGTAGTGTGGGTGGAAAGTTTCAGACACATTCCAGAGATGTTTCAAGTGTTAAGCAGTTCAGTCCAGCAGGGTCAGAGGACGATCTTCAGAAGAGACTCTTCAAAGCTGCTGACATGCATCCAAGCCTCCAATGTCCCACATGGTACTCTCAAATGATTACTACACTAGATAACTTTCAGCCTATAGTGTAACTGTGGGCGGCTTTTTTCTCTCTTTACTCTGAGTTGTTGTTTCCTTTTTGGTTGAGATGACTTATGTCGCTGACAGCCATAGTTGTAATGTGAGCAAGGAGTGTGTGGAAAGGATGAGACGAAGTACAAAAAGGGGAAGACGAAGGAGGAGGGAGGTTCGGTTGTGCATACGTACACAGGAGGAAGTATGCTTCAGGGGTGGGGAGAAGCATGAAACTGTGACGGATCACATGAGGCAGATATTAGTTCTCCCCAGAGACAGAAAAGGAGACTTCTATCAGTGTATATTGTGACCACTCTACTGAAGGGGAAATTAGACTCTGCATAGATGTCATACGTGACCTCAATTCACTTTCACATGTGAGAAAATGTGCCTTTTCTGTCTCATTAACACTTGTTACCGTTGTTAACATTTCAGAGTGAAAATGGGCTAAACGCAGGATAGGTAAGTGTTAAAGAGACACACCAACACTTTGTTGACTTTGGTCTATATTCGCATAATTTGTTGACAATAACAGACATAGAATATTACCAGTTGTATTCTTTGAATATAGGTTAGAAACAACTCTTTGTTTCAGTTTAACTAACTTAGTTTCGACCTCTGAAGAAACACCCACACCTCAGTTTTGTTAAGGAATTAAAATACGATGAATGAAAATTAAATGAATTAATTCAATTGTAACAAAATGATAATACAGTCTGATTATCAGTTATCGTTGACTGAACACTTATAAGTAAACATTTGTTTTTATGTTTATGTACACAAAAATGCTGCCATATCTAGTGGAAATTCAATTGAAAACCCAAGCCATGCACATCCTATCATTTGAGATGTGCTTTTTCATGTGAGACTCTGCATAGGACGTCATAAGTGACCTCAATTCACTTTCACATGTGAGTCTTGTCTGAGGGTAACCAGGAGTAACATTATAAAATGGGGTATTTGAACTGCTTTGAAACAGCTTTCCTCTCTGTGTTTATTCATTGTTACGCTCAGTTGAGCCCTGCACCTTCATTATGACTCATGTAGTGTACAAATAATTGCTTACCGTTTCATTTCTACACCAGAATTGAAGTCAAAACGTAAGTAGAGTCTGATTTACATGTTGAGATATCTGTACCAGGCAGGGGTATGAACAGTGTGGTTATCAGAAAGGTTACAGTAAACCACCCTGTCAGAGAAATACCCAAAGCTTTTACTGTACATGTTTATAAAAATAATCTGTGGTGGATGCCTGCAGACAATCTGTTAATGTGTGGAGTAAACATTTACACCAGCTGTGAATGTGTACTTTCCTATAAGCAAGAACACATACCTGAGGTCAGCTACAGAAAAAGCAGAGAGATGGAAAGAGCAAGGTTAAAAAGACGAAATACTTAATAGTATTTGCCAAAGGGGCTTACTGAATAAAATCTAAAAGGGGTTTTCTCACTTCTTACCTCATCTTTCATCCATAGTTTATTTTCTGCATCAATAGAAGTGTTGAGTATCTGTCTCTGTAATGAAAAGGCCAAAGAAGCAGGTTAGCAGTTTTTTTAGTACTAGTAATATTGAAGCCAACAGTTCAGTTTATATCAGAAGGGGATGGTAGTACATTACTCAACACATTGAAGCAGTCACTTGGTGATTTGATACCACACTTGCCTCAACTTCTGACTACATGGCTTGTGAAGGTTAGATTGAGGGATAGAGTTGTATAGCAAGACTACTCACACCGTTGCATGTCAGTCACCTCACCGTGCTGAAGATTCCTGTTTTTTTTTTTAAAAGAAGCCTTCTAATGTAAAGGTGTGACATTTTAAAACCAGAACTTGGACGTGCAAGTTCAACTGATTTGAACTGGTGGGGCCTGGGGAGAGTAATCCTTCTCATCATCTCTTTCTTTAAATCCCTAAGCATGAAGCTGACAAAGTATTTTTGCTATTTCTCACAAGAGAAAAATGTGATAAGTATCGTTTGTTTCCTAGCAACAGCTTCCTTAGCTGACCTGTACTTGACCTTCCTCGTTAAAATGTAATGTTAAACGTTGCATTTATTTCTAAGAAACACTGGGCGATGGTTAAATGACTATTTAGCAACAGAGAAATCACATGGAAGAGAAAAGTGATAATGAACATGACCGCACAATTTTAAATACCAGAATTTCTATTAGAAAACATTTGTCCATTAAGTTATAACTCAAAAAGAGTAGTGACATTGTTTATTGACATTTCATTTAATCAGCCTATTATTAAAATGTCAATCATACTATTTGTTATATATATATATATATATATATATTTTTTTTTTGTACGGGATTGAAAGGATATTTGTACAATGGACCATAAACTGTTAAAATGATATGGCACATTTCTAACAAGTAATAAAGAGCACACAAAGTTACAGTTTTCTTTGTGCAAAGACAAACTGGGGTAAACTAGTTCTAATGTACATTTTGGTTTTGCGTCTGGATGACAACCGGAATCGCTCGGCAATTTTCCAAATTGCTTTACACAGTTGAGTTTTTCTCTTTCTGCATGCATTATGCCTGAGTGCGAGGGCAAGCTCAGCAGCTGGCATAGCCTTTTAATGTATACTCCATGGCCAAACTGCAGGTCAACGCCTCTGCAGTCACAGCGGTTGATGAGGAAGTGCAATCAGAATTTGCGATCATGTTACACGATTACAGAAAAACATTTGCAGAGCTAACAAGGTTTTTGTTTTGTATGTTTACTGACAGTGTTTGATGGCTATCTCAGGAAGCAGGATTTGTGAGCTGAGCTAACTCGATAACAGCAACGAGGTTAAATCTTGAAACCTTTTTACCTCACTCCACATACCAAATTTGGAAGGATTCCAAAAAAACTCCATTATCCTAAATGTCCTAAATGTCCTATTATTTCCCCTGAACCCCCCCCCCCCCGCCCCCCAAATATACACAAAACAACAAAGGAACTGTGTGAGTAGTATTACTGGCCTAGTTATAAATTATGTGCACAGTTTATTTTGTAGTTGTTTTTGTCTTAAAATGTGTTTTTGGAGTTATGTTTTTATCAAAACCAACAATGAATTGATCATACTAACAAGTAGCCAAAAGCTCGACTAAGTTATTCCTCTGGACCATAGAGCTCCATTATTGCCTGACAAATATATTCATAATAAATCAATTAGTGCTAAATCTAACTTGAATACCTTGAACATGGCCACTGTAGTTTGCATCAAGTTAATCCTACACATTTCTGCTCACTAAAATACACTGCTCACTACTAGAGCAACTCATGTTTATCAATTTGCTGCTGGTAATGGTCTCCAACAAAATGTGCTTTTTCTGTTTCATTAACACTTGTTACTGTTGTTAACATTTCAGAGTGAAAATGGGCTAAACGCAGGATAGGTAAGTGTTAAAGAGACACACCAACACTTTGTTGACTTTGGTCTATATTCGCATGATTTGTTGACAATAACAGACATAGAATATTACCAGTTGTATTCTTTAAATATAGGTTGGAAACAACTTTGTTTCAGTTTACCTAACCTGGTTTCGACCTCTGAAGAAACACCCACACCTCAGTTTTGTTAAGGAATTAAACTACGATGAATGAAAATTAAATGAATGAATTAAATTGTAACAAAATTATAATACAGTCTGATTATCAGTTATTGAACAACATCTTAACTTTTTTGACTGAACACTTGCCTAAGTAAACATTTGTTTTTATGTTTATGTACACAAAAATCCCGCCATCTCTAGTGGAAATTCAACTGAAAACCTTAAGCCACACATAAAACCTGTTATGATGGCAACTGAGTGCACATCCTATCATTTGAGATGTGCTTTTTCATGAGTTCTTCCCTTAGAGAAGACTTTCTGCAGTCAAGACAAATTATTTTCTTACTTTGAAAAACAATATGAACATTGCTTCTCGCACAATGACACAAAGCTAAGTGGAAACTTCCTTATGGTGCCAGGTACTCTGAGCTTTGGATCTCTTTGCTTACTAAGTGGAGGATCTCCATTTCCACTTGCCAGTGCAGAGACATTAGCATAGAGACGTGCAGATGATAGGATGGTGAACACACTATAAACACTTGAAAGAAATAAAAGGAGACAGAGTGTATCACTTGTGTCGTTTGGCAATGATGATTGGCGTAGTGTAGGAGGACAGAAGGGTCTGTTTTCACCAGAGTAGCCGGCTGAAGTGCGCAGATTGCAGAATGGAAAACAATTCACTACCTTTGCCTCTATAGCCACAGGCTCCTCTTGAGTGGCACTCTGTGAGGCGTAATGTGTGTAAAAAAAATCAGGTCTTTGTTCTATGAGAGCTGAGTGTTCTTTTGTGTGTGTACTCAAATGCATAAATAATATCATAGCCTTAGTCCATGTTGCAACCATCCTTGAACATTTGCATTAGCCCTTATTTGAGTACATTTAAATAGAAATTGAAGACGGCATGTTTGTTATAATCTTGCTTTTTGCCAGAAAGGGACATAAAGTGGAGTGGATGTTATTGCTGCATTAAGGTGTTCATTATTCGTTTGTCTCGTGTTAACCAAAGCATGTCTTCTGTCACAGAAAACCTGAGGGACAATAATAGTCCCTGCTTTTTAAACATCTAAGTAATGAATCTTAATCACATTGTCCCTCCAGGCATGCTTGGTTCTTATTTAGATTACAGTTTCTAGATGACAGTTGAAGGACAGATGAATAAATAAGGCATCCAAGGCAAAAAGGAATATTGTTCAACATTTGTATTTTCTGTTACCAAGGCTAGGATTATCCTTCAAACAAGTCATACACAGTCTACGCATATTCAACAACTACATAGGTTACACGTGTATAATAGACCATCATAACTACAGTATGTTTTATATTGTATCTAGATCATTCTACTACTTCACAGAAACATGCAACATATCGACTTGACAGGTTGTCAATAATCAAACTACATTCACTCTCCAGAACCTAGTTTCGTAACCCAAGCTGTCTGCCAAAGCACTAACCACATCGAGAGAGAAAGACGTCTATTCTTCTTCACAACAGTAAACAAGGAGCTGTGTTGTTCAAAACAAGTCTCCATTGACCTGCTCAGGTGTAAAACATGTGCTTACATTGGCAGCATTTGATGCAAATACACAACTGTTTGACTTTAGAGATGGGTGTGGGTGGGGAAAGAAAATCAGCTTATGAACAGCTCAAAGCTGGAGTTCATTTAAACCCGCACAGACATCTTTATTCACATGTGTTTCCCAAGAGTCTATTGTGGCTCAAAACTAGTGGTAATTGCACAGGGTTTTCTGTCACCGAATCAATACCTCCCGTTTTAACTACAGGGCATGCACTTATGGGGATGCATTTGTGAATGTAAATGGGTTTGCCTCCATGCCTGCACATTAGTAATTTCCAGCCCAGAGGAAGACCTTTGTCTCTGTAAAGCACCGAAGAGAAATTAAAACCAATCTTTACCGAATACATAATGGCGACGGTAATTCCAGTCAGTCCAATTAAATGACAGCAAAAGCAAACTTTTCTTTTAAAAAGGGAGACAGTTTCATTTTTAATATTCACTCCATAGTTTAGATCGAACACACACCTCAACAAAAACACTCTTTATCGCTTGTGGTGAGGTGGCATTTCCAAACTGGTGAAGCATTTTGCAGTGATAGGAAAAGAACGTGACACGCGTCATTCGTGTGAGACATTCTGATTTAAAGTTGACTCTAATGTAGTCTGTAAAAACTGCCAGCTCAGCCGCACAGAGGATGTAAGATAGAGACGAGCAGTCCTCAGCATGTAAAGAGTTCAACGATTCAAAAGATAAAGAGGGTCAAAAGTGGCAGAGGTGAAAGATAAAATTGCTGTAAAGTCTTAACAGCTGGACACTTTTTAGACCCATGTTTTTCAGGCTTTAAGTCGACCATCACAATCCTCTCTCTAGTTCTTTCCTCCTTCCTTAATAATCTCGAGTCCTCTGTGCCTCTCTGGTCAGAGGATGCTGACCCTCTCAGTGAGGCCTTGCATATCTGCATCCTCCCCCCCGTCCTCTTCGTCAGAGCCCGCCCCAGCAGGAGGGACGAGGTGAGAAGGGTAAGGCAGAGTGTGTTCACGGGCAAACATTTGCCAGCGGGTGTCATCACTCTCATGGGTGATGTAACGCCCACCGAGTTTGGTCTCGAGCTCCCGCAGGTCCAACCACGCCTGATAGTCCTGAGGCAAGCACATATAAACACAGGGATGTAATTTCAGTTTCAGGAAAAGATTGAAATGGGATTAAAGTGAAATTGGATTTTATGCCATTATAGCTCATAGCCAGTAATAACTTTAGACCACGAGTGTGTGCCTGTATCTGTGTGTGTGTGTGTGTGAATAGAAACTCAAATGACCCTTCACTGGACTGAATGCTTCTGAGGTGATTATAAAAGAAACTTTTAGCGAAGTTAGGGCTACCATGACTCAAAGCTTTTTAAAGCAAGGACATGTTTTGAAAGAAAAACAACAACAAGGGTTTAGTAGTTTAAACACAGTGAGAAAGCTCGCCTGTTTTTATTATTATTATAGAATATCAGCCTTGAGCTTAGGTCTCGCTGCTTGGTTGTGAGTGCAGATACCTTGTGTTTATATTTGCCACTTTCTGCAATGGCTACAGATTTTGTAGTACCACTCTACCACTTATGTAACTGGCAGGCACCCTATCTGAAAAAAAAGCTGCTTCCTGATCTTTTCATCGGAAGTAATGGTAGAAGTGGAAGTGTAATAAAACAATTCAGGAACATTTAATAACGGTAAAACACTGTGCGTGTGTGTTTTATATGCTACCTGTAGGTAAACATGGCTGAGACTCTTGTCCACGCTGTAGCGTTTCCTCATCTTAACTTGCAGCAGGTTGTTGATCAGGTCGGTTGCTGGAAACACAACAGAAAACAGATCAGCATATTTATATATATATATAGCTACAGTAAAAAAAGCAGCGGTTATAAACCTATCAACAATTATACCTACAGTAAGCAAACTAGTTGCTAAAGAAATACAATGATCAAGAACCATGTTTAAGTTAAGATGATTGCACAAGATAATATAGATGGAAACCAAACAAAACACATAATCCTCTTAAATGGGCATACACTTAAATCAACAGGTCTAAAACAGTTTCAACAAATCTGATTAGTATAACCTTCATAAAGTTGTATTTATTGCAGAACTGTTGTATTTGACTGTGTTCGTTTTGGCTAGGTGTTCCTTAATAACTGCCAACTGAGCGCACCCCTATATGTGCGTAACAATGACATTCCCCTCTGTGTTTACCATCACTGGAGATCTGTTTCCAGGGGTTGGGAGGGTACATGAAGGCTGCGTTGTGAATCTGGTCGTTGATATCTTCGTCCTCATTAAAGGGGAACGTGCCACTCAGACTGACATACATAATGACGCCGACCGACCACATGTCCAGGGAGCGGTTGTAGCCCTGGTTCAGGAGAACCTCCGGGGCCAGATAGGCCGGGGTGCCGACCACCGAGCGGCGGAAAGACTTCTCGCCGATGATTCGGGCAAAACCAAAGTCACACAACTTCACCTGAGAGGAGGAGAAGTGAGTAGGTAGGGTTCATGAAGGAAGAAAGAAACAGAGAAGTGTTGAAATTACAGGTTTGAGAAGAGAAAATAGATTTGAGGAACAAGTCAGAGTGGCAGCACCACACCAGCTCTGACGTGTCGATGACCAAAGTAAAAACCATAACTGATGCATATTTAGAATGGGTTATTAGTTTGTGTACTGTGTGTGTGTGTGTGTTGTGCGTACCTGGGGGAAGGGGTCAGCTGAGGCAAGCAGCACATTTTCAGGTTTCAGATCACAGTGAACGATGTTCTTAAAGTGTAGATGTCTCAGAGCCGCCAGAATCTGAGCATACAAAGCCACAACCACACAAACAGGATATGAGTTAGTTTTATGTGCCAGCCATTTCAAGATGATAACGACATAAATAGGCACGGCTTGCCAGAGTAGCAGACCACAATAAAACACTGCAGCAACATCTTTTGAAGATATGGCTGACACACATACACGCTACATATGAACAACAACAGCAATACTTTCCATGTCGTAGCATACATACAGTTCCACACAACACCTCCTTTCTTTGTTGGGGCACCAACTCACCTGGGTGATGAGGAACTTAGTGAGCCTCTCGGGCAATCTGCCTTTCTCACTGGAGAGGATCATCTCGAGCATGTCACCATGCAGCTTCTCCATCACCACAAACACTTTCTCTGAGGTCTCAAACATACTCTCCAGGTTCACAATGCCCAGGTGACGTAAACTCTGAGAGAGGGACAAGAAAATAGGATCAGGAGGGAAGAAGGAAGAAGAGATAAAGGGTGAAATTTAATGTAAGAAATGTTTGAAAAAGAGGGAGGAATTAAATAGCAGGCAAACGAAGAGAGAGTGGTTAAAGAGATATATATGACACAGAAAAATGATGAAGGTTAAACAGCGTGAAACAGAAACAGAATGAAGATTTGAGGTAAATAAGAAAAAATAGACACAGACGGACAGAGTTAGCAAAACATGTAAAACACAACAATGAGTATAGAACATGTGTTATCAGGTCATTATTCTCCACAAATGCCATATGGCATCAATAACAAGCTATTTCACTTGAAAGCCGATGACTGTTAAGTGAGTAACTGCCTTTTAGTCACGGCTCATAGACTGATGCAGCTCCTGCCTGCCTCCTGCCATCTGCTGGTGAATCATGAACTTTACATTTAAGTATGAGCGAAAAGCAAAGAGTTGTTCAAAAAGTTTTCAAATGATAACATCAACAGGCTGAAAAACTAAAAATGAATGTTTTCCCGATAAAACATACTGTAGAAAACAAAACAATAAACTGGGAACATGAGCTACATCTGAAGAAATATGACCTTCATTATGTGACCTTTTTGATCCTATAGCTATTGTTAAACCAACCAGCTCACGCACATGTTTCCTAAACAGATTGTCTCAGTGCTTTGATACTATTGTTAAGACACACGTGTGGGCAGGTCAGTGGTCAGATCCCCAGCCCCTGCAGGTGAAGTGTCCTCGGGCCCGATACTGAACCCTACATGTAACCCCAGAGGCATGTCTGTGGTGTGGAGGTGCTTTTTACTGAAAGTCCCGCATCAGCTAAATGAAATGTCAATGGAACATATAGGTAAATACTAGGAATGTGGGGATTTCCTTTGTTTGCAGACGTGGTTTCCAAACTACAGATTGGTTTCGGGTCAGACACTGAATCATCTGTTCCTCAGAATTAAACAAAGAGGAACCTCTTACCTACTTCCTTTTAGCAATGTTTCATCACAAAATTGTTTTAGAATATTGAGTCTCAAATTAGGCCAACACGAAACTTATAAATGTCACAATGCACACCAGGTTTGGAATGACTGCCTGTAGGATATCCATTTACAGCTACAGTGTGTTTACCTGCAGTATGGCCACCTCGTTCCTCAGCTGGCTCTCCTGCTTGGTGGGAAAGCGAAGCTTGTCAATGACTTTGACAGCCACGTCCCTCCCTGTCTTCCTGTGCTTACCTGATGAAGAAATGCAGCGTTAGTAATAGATGTGGTTAGAGATGAACCACCCATACATGTTGAGATACAGCATGTCATCCAGAGGTTACGATGTGCTTAAAATAACCCTCCAATTATTTAACATAATGATCTGCAGGTTCTCTCTCTACTTACAGACACATGTACTCACAAGGACGCTTTGTGGTGTACTGTTTTGTAAGATCCTTCATTACTTTATTTATTCAGAGTAGAAGTTGTATCTATTATGTATATATAAATGTAAATATGGTGTCATGACAGCAAACTTTAGACATCATTATTTCCTATACAGCCCTTTGACCTTTACAAAATACATACCTCCATACACAACTCCAAATTGCCCAGATCCCAGAACTTCATCAGCAAAAATCTGGTACACGGTACCAATATCCTGTTGGGAAGAAACATTTCAAACATTCATCATCATAAAAATCATCCTCAAAGTATAATTAACGTAAAGGTTAAAGAAACTTGATAACAAATGTACAAAGTCATACCACATTCTCTTGGATTTGACTGTTGGACACAGATATGCTGACTGAAGCTTGTCCTGAAAATACAGCACCAGGAACAATGGTTAAACAGTGTGGCAGTGGGAGTTCCACATTGTGTATCAACCTCAGTTCAACATACCAAACTTGTGAGAGAACAGCTTAGTTTACTGGAAGAGTCTACCCTTTTTTTTTTTGACCAATATGTTTTGGTGAATGGCCTTCATCGGGTTGTTTCTGATTAAGAGCGGCCTCTTTGAGTAAGTCATCTAGAATTCGAAAGCTGTTTTTTTTTCACATTTGGTCCATTGTTTTTCAAGCACACAGTTTTCTTCTGACGTAGCAACAGCACACACATTTTGGAACATTCAACTTTAATACATATCCATAGATCTCAAACTGCAATGTGCCATTAAGTAATAACCACAAATAAACCACCTTCATTTGACTGATCTCCACTTACTGTGAGTTGTGTTCCCCTCAGCTGGCGGGGCGTCTTGGAAGATGACGGGCATGAGTGCCTGGCGAATGGCGCCCTCCCACGCCTTGGCCACCTCTCGCCCAATGCCACTGTTGGGAGCTACTTGGCTGGGGGAGGGAGGGGTCGGGGGGAGAGTCTGGGGGTGGCTGAGGCATGGCGGTGGGAGTGAGTTGGGGTCTTCCCCTCCAAAGTAGCACATAGTGCCTGTGATAAGCTCAAAGCAGTGAGGATTTGTGCCTGGAGGGACAAGTGAGAAGTTTCCAGCAGGACGCACCTCCAGGATCTCAGACAGAGGGATCTCCTGCAAGATGGTGGACCAGTGAGTTTACACGCCTCAAAACAAATGACTTGGGATTATACTTTTACAGAGAGTAAACTATATTTACCTTGTAGTATTTGTTGGTTGTGTTGTTCTGGAAAAGGGTGATGCACTTACAGTCCAGACGCCAGTAGTGCCTCTTTCTCTGTTGAGGTTGGAATAAGGCGAGATGAGGTAACACATGTAAAGCAGGACATTAGGGGGTGAGATGGAGAGAGGACAGAGGGTGGCATGGTTCAGGCTTCAATATGAATGCATTTCAAGTTCTGCGTTGACGTCCAGAGGAAGAGAAGAGAGTCCAGATGAGAAGAAGGACAGGCAGGAGCACAAGCTGCAAGATGAGAAGGTGAAAACAAAGAGACAAAAGACAAAAGTAAAAGAAAGGAAGAAAAAAGGAGGGAGTTAGTGAAGCCAGAAAGTGAGAACAAGCAAGGACAATACTAGAGAGGCAGAAAGGTTTCTCAATTAGAGAATTTGTTAGATAAAGAGAAAAAGACAGCTTGAATTCACAAATGATCTGCATCTTTACATCTGTTCTTCCATAAAGATAACTTCAAATGGAATTAACCGAGAGCACAAAGCCAAACCAAAACAGTGGAAATAGGAGCTAGACTGCTGACATGTATGCCTCTGGTGAGAGGACAGTAAACTGGCTACAGTAAATAATGGAAAAGGAAGTACATTGAGAATATAATTGACATCTGTATATTCAACTGCTTTTTAGAAGAACTGGTCTAGATACCCAGAAAGGATAGCATGGGAATTATGGGTAATGTTTTACCAGTGTGTCCTTATTGCTGTAGTGAACCATCCACCCTTCCTTGATAGACGTACTGGATCGACGGGTTGTCTGTCTCACAGACTGCACCACCCTCATTAACGGGATGTAAACACTAGAAGAAGAAGAAAAGAGGGTCGAATGGGTTATTGTTTCACTTTTTGGCTATGCCTTCAGCACTCCTTTACTTTATCTCCAAACCTTTCCCCCCCCCCCCCATACCTTTGGTCTCCACTGTGTCCGTCCTGGTTGTTGTCCGGAGAGAAGGAGCCAGGGATGCTGCACGCCTCGTCCGAGTCATCTATTGAAGACTTGTCTGAGGCGTCGTACTCACTGCTGTAGTCCATCGGCACCTCAGGGTCGGTGCTGGGACTCAGCATGTCTGGGGCGAAAGACGAGGGAGAGTTTGAGTGCACCTTGATTTAAAGTATACATGCATAAAAAAGGCTGTGAAAGGATACTACGACATGCTGCTCATGTGACTACGACTAAGGCTATTAGAAGACTAAAGCTTTACATGCATCAATGCAGTGTACCGGTGATACTTACCGCAGTTACTTCTGTTGTCTGAGAAGATAAAAACATTAGTTACAGTAAGTTCAGAGATATTGGATAATGTTTTATGTTATATATTTGACTAAAAGTAACATAGTTCTGACAATAGAGACATACAGATGACATATACATTATTGTATCAAATCCCTGCAGGGTTAAAAGAGTCACAAAGACATTTAAAGATAATAGATTGATATACTCCCTCACCTCCAATGGTCTCCCCAAGGCAGTCATTGGGAACCTTGTATACACAGCGTTTATGGCAGTTAAACTTGCAGTCTGTAAGAAATAAAACATGTTTTGTACATATAATCTAATTAGATGCATTTTATATTTTGCGTCACCTGTCTCTCAGTCTGTCCTCACCTTTGCACTGTAGGCCCTGCCTGAACAGCCCTCGCAGGAGTCTCTTGCAGTACTGGCACACCGTCGGTCGCGTGTACGAGTGGATAGCAAACGTGTGGGGCACCTTCACCTTGCTCATCAGGATCTTATCCAGATGGACAGGTCGGCCCGTGTAAAAGCGCCGGGCATCACTAGCGGTCCGTGGCTAGTCAAATAGAAAGGAAATACAAATTATCCATTCAATTGTGTCTGGGTAAATAAAATAGTAAAAACACATTAGTAGTAGATAACTAAAGGTAGTTATAACTAAATATAGTTATCTACTGCTACCTATGAATATTTTTGTTAGAAAAGAGTAGAAAGAAGTTTCAATAAAACAATTTAGGGAGAAAGTTTGTGGATTATCAGACATATAGTTATATTCAGACAAACGGTATGAGAAAAATAATGTGTTATGTGAACATTTAAGCATTTAATCATGTTCTAGTAAAAATATAAAATACAAATATGAACTGTAGAAATGGTTTAATAAGTCCCCTTTAAAATGGGTTTACATCATTTGTGACACAACACGAAACAAAGCTGTGTGACGTGGTTAATTGAATGGGATCTGCAGGAAAGCCTCCTTAACTTGAATAGTCTAAACCTGACCAGAGCATTGTGTGTGCATGAATCCATCAGTACCATCTGTGTGTGTGAGCGGATGAGGCTTGTTTCCTCTGCGCAGGTGGAGGCTGTCCCTGCACTGTACACTGAGTCAGTGGTGGAGAGGCGCAGGGACTGGCTGCTGCTCAGGGAGGTGGTGGAAAGACGCCGTTTACGCGCACCGCTGCAGTTGTTTGGGATGCTGAATGCACAGCGTTTGTGGTAGTTTAGTCCACATCCTGCAGGGGGCGCCACAGATCAAAGAACCAGGGAGAAAGAGAGTGGAGGAGATGGAGCATAATTAGTATGTTTTATGATTTATTTCTCAGAGACATTTGTGGGCCACATTATTTGTTCTTATCACTCTTGTTCTCCCTATGTTCCTCACCGTCACACTTGAGTCCTTGTCTGACCAGTCCAAACAGCATCTCTCCACAGTGATCACAGAAGGCCGGGGCCCGGTAGGAGTGAACATTAAGTGCATGGGGCCGAATCTGGAAATCTTCAAACGTGGCTGCCGCTGAAAGAGAAAACAGGCGTAGATCTTGGTCACAGTGGGTGTCAAGATACAATCAAACTCCTAACCTGGTCAAATAAAAGAATGATCAGATGGATGCGATGGAAACAGCATGGACAATATTGTCAGGAAGTTTTCTTGCCAACAATGGAGCATTATAGTTTGAAACAATGACAGACCAGATCAGAGTAAGATATCAGCTATAGTAAAATAAGCAGACCTGATAACAAGAGTTGTGATGCAGAGCAACATGAAAAGGAAATAGCAAAAGGAAATAAGGAAGTTCATTTGGATTTGAACATGGCTGACTTGTATCCTAATAGGATTACTTACCCGATAGCACCACCTCCACCAGATCTCCCTCCTGAATGTCACAGGCACCTTTAACCAGCTGCAGGATGTTGTTGGTGGTCGTGTCATGCTTGAACAGCAGAATCTTGTCATAAATGCCATAGAAGCCGCACTCCGGGAACTAGAACACAAACAAAAAACACAATGTAAATGTAAGTTAGCAGGATCAAATGTAGAAAAGGCAGAAATTAGAATGACATTTGTACTTCAATCACAGAAAGTCCATTTGTTGAAAGACTGGAAGTTGCACTTCTTATAATTCAATAGAGGGTTTTATAGCAAATAATAACTGATTGCATGTTCAAGTCATCAATACAATCACTACACTTCTGTAAGGGGTAGGAACATGTCACTTGAAGAGGGTAAATACAAAATCAGATCCAATATTTATTTTTGCAATGTTTGGATGTTTTCGAAGAACAAAATTAAATACTAATAAAGGGTACTATGAACTTAATTACAAATCTGCAAAATAGCATAGCAGTTTTTTTTAATATTTTCACAAGACCCAATATAACATTTGAAAGAGGAACTTGCAAAAATACAGTATAAAAAGAACATACAATTCAAACAGTTTATTGCAAACGGAGTATATATATTATAATTATAATGGTTTTAAAAAAATATTATTTCGAAATCTTTAAACTGACTTGCAAAGACAAAGCATAGCAGCAGACAAAGCAGCTTACTGTCAAATACTGAAGATCAACAGTCCAGTTGTAAATAGAAGCCAGGAGACATTATGCATTCAAAGGTTGGTCAGACAACTTCAAGAAGAGGATGTTATACTAAAAACTGCACCAAACATCCTAAGCAGTTATTGCTGTTTTCACAAATCTGCTGTAAAATATCACATTTAGTACTGTGAACCGTGCAGGAATGTTCTCAAGCATATGTCGTAACCATAGACTGTATATATAAAGTGTGTATGTCCTAAACTAATTACATTACACCCTGTTTAGTAAAGCCCCTGGAACATATAGCAGCCAACAC